ATGATGAAAAACCAGCAAGTACTGTTTAGAAATCAACAAGCTTCAATCTTCAACATAGAACAACAACTCGGGCAACTAGCTAAGCAATTCAATGAAAGGCCTACGGGTGGACTTCCAGGAAACACTGAACAAAACCCAAGAGGAGCTCACATCCAAGCCATTACTACCAGAAGCGCGAAAATTATCACTCATTTAACGCCCATAGACAGAAACAACTTGGACGGGGAGGAGGAAGTTCAAGAAGAAAGTCAAGGACAAGGATCTGAACAATCACCACAATGTGGTACAAATGCTACGATGTGGCAAGAAGTTGAAAAGAAAATTGAAGAACCTGTAAAGCCTTACCGCCCACCATTGCCATTTCCAATTAGAGCAATTCAAGAGAAACATGTTGAAGATTATCGGAAGTTCTTGGACCACATAAAGTCTCTTGAAATAAATATTTCATTCCTTGAGGCCTTAGTCGAAATGCCAAAATATGCCAAGTTCCTCAAGGACCTTTTAAAAAACCGAAAGAAAATGGAGGGACTATCGAAGGTGATATTAAATGAAACTTGTTCCGCTGCAATGCTAAACATGTTACCAAAAAAGATGGGTGATTCGGGAATCATAACCTTACCATGCCAATTAGGGAATCTAGCAACTAGTCATGCTCTAGTCGATTCGGGAGCTAGTGTTAATTTGATGCCGTATTCATTTTTCAAGAAGCTTGATCTCCCTGAACCAAGACCGGTCTGCATGGTCATACATTTAGCTAACAAGACCATGACCTTCCCAAGGGTTATATGTGAAGACTTGCTCGTAAAAGTGGACGAATTTGTTTTTCTCACGGATTTCATCGTATTAGATATGGAGGAAGACGAACAAGTCCCAATCATCCTTGGAAGGCCCTTTTTTAGCACCGCCCGAGCCTTAGTTGAGATTAAAGAGTCCAAACTCACTCTCCGAGTAGGAGAAGAGGCTGTTACTTTTGGGGTTAATCGAGCAATTCAACATTCAAGAGCAAGTGATGATACGACTTTTTATGTCGATATAATTTATGAACTATTTGAAAAGGAGCTAGGAGGGTGGAAAGAAAAAGAAACTGAGGGGTTTATGGTGCTTGAAGAAGGAAATTTTGATGCAGAACTTGATCTACAAGAATTGGAGAAGTTATTGGAAGAAAGTGATTACAATGAAGTAATAAAAGAGGCAGAAGAGGCAACACGACGTGGTGATATCAACATGTTGTGGTCAAATTTTTTTCACGATCTGACAATAAAAGTTGCGACACCACAACATGGCAGGAATCCCACGTCATGGTGGCTGACGAAAAGCCAAAACTTGAGCTTAAATCCTTACCCGAGCACCTGGAGTATGCATTATTGGAAGAAGGGCAACAAAAGCCAGTATTTATAGCATCCGATCTAGCCAAACATGAAAAAGAAAGCCTTGTGGAAGTCCTAAAGAAAAGACAAGGTGCCATAGCATGGAAGATAACTGACATCAAGGGGATCAGTCCAGCCTATTGTTCTCATAAGATCAACCTAGAAGAAGGAGCTAAACCCATAGTTCAATGCCAAAGAAGACTTAACCCAAATATGCAAGAAGTGTTTAAAAAGAAGGTGGTTAAACATTTAGATGCTGGCATCATTTACTCAATCTTCGATAGTCCATGGGTAAGTCCGGTACACGTAGTAGCAAAGAAGGGAGGAATGACCGTGGTTACCAATGAAGATAACGAGTTAATCCCAACAAGAACATTGACCGGGTGGCGCGTTTGCATCGACTATCGGAAGCTTAATGATGCTACATGAAAGGATCACTTTCCGCTACCATTTATCGATCAAATGCTCGAAAGACTATCCGAACATCTTTTCTATAGTTTCCTTGATGGTTTCTAGGGGTACTTCCAAATCCCAATTGACCCTCAAGACCAAGAAAAGACCACTTTTACTTGCCCAAGTGGGACATTTTCATATAGACGCATGCCTTTTGGGTTATGCAATGCACCAACTACATTCCAAAGGTGCATGATGGCTATCTTCCATGACATGATCGAGAAATTTATGGAGGTTTTCATGGATGACTTCTCGGTTTTTGGGTCCTCTTTTGAAGATTGTTTATCCAACTTAGACCTAATGTTAGCAAGATGTGAGAAGACAAACCTAGTCCTAAATTGGGAAAAGTGCCACTTCATGGTAAAGGAAGGGATTGTGTTATGACACAAAGTCTCAAGGTCGGGAATAGAGGTGGATAGAGCCAAAGTTGACACGATAGCTAAATTACCACCCCCAACGAATGTAAAAGGGGTAAGGAGCTTTCTAGGCCATGTGGGATTTTACCGCCGTTTCATTAAAGAATTTTCAAAGATCACGAGGCCGTTAACTCAACTTCTTTTAAAGGATGCCCCATTTGACTTTTCTAAGGAATGTCATGAAGCATTTCAATTGTTAAAGGAAAAGTTGACTACTACCCCCATTATGATAGCCCCAAATTGGAATCTTCCTTTTGAGCTTATGTGTGATGCTAGTGACTATGCGGTGGGGGTAGTTTTGGGACAAAGAATTGACAAACATTTTCAACCTATCTACTATGCAAGCAAAACGTTAAACCCAACACAAGAAAACTACACTACTACCGAGAAGGAGCTGCTCGTGGTGGTTTATGCTTTTGATAAATTCCGCCCATATCTCGTTTTGTCAAAGACAATTGTATTTACCGACCATTCTGCCCTTAAGTATCTCTTTGCTAAACAAGATGTTAAACTAAGACTAGTACGTTGGGTATTACTTTTACAAGAATTTGACATTGAAATTAGAGACAAAAAGGGAATGGAAAACGTAGCAGCTGATCACTTATCGCGACTAGAGAACCCGCACTTGGAAGAATTAGAAGAAAAACAAGATTGGAGATGATTTTCCCGAAGAGTATCTTATGGTTATAGCAGGAGAAATACCTTGGTATGCAGATTTAGCCAACTACTTAGCAAGTGACTATATTCCAAAAGATTTGACGAGACAACAAAAGAAGAAACTCTTTTCTGAAATCAAGTATTACTTTTGGGATGAGCCTTACCTCTTTCGAAGATGCACGGACGGAATGATAAGAAGATGTGTATTCGGGAATGAGGGTCGGGAAATCTTGAAACATTGCCATAGCGCGCCCACCGGAGGACATCATGGAGCACATTATACGGCTAAAAAGATTTTTGATACGGGTTTTTATTGGCCTACAATCTTTAAAGATGCCGCTCAATATGTCAAGGAGTGCGATTCATGCCAAAGGTCGGGAAATATTTCATCCCGAAACGAGATGCCCCAAAATAGCATTCAAGTTTGTGAAATATTTGATATATGGGGGATTGACTTTATGGGACATTTCCTAATGTCCAAAGGAAATAAATATATATTGGTGGCGATAGATTATGTATCCAAATGGGCGGAAGCACAAGCATTACCTTCTAATGATGCTCGTGTGGTAGTGCGTTTCCTTAAGAAGTTGTTTTCAAGATTTGGTGTTCCTAAGGCTCTAATAAGTGATCGAGGCACCCACTTTGCAAATGATCAATTGGCTAAGGAGAGTGGTTGGATAAGCTTGATGATGCACTTTGGGCATTTCGAACAACTTTTAAAACACCTATTGGTACTACACCATATAGGTTGGTCTATGGAAATGAATGCCACTTACCGGTTGAAATCAAGCATAAAGCATTTTGGGCTTTGAAGATATGTAATTTTGAACTAATCGAACTTCGTGCCAACCAATTGATGCAAATGAAATCCCTTGAGGAACTTAGGAATGAAGCATACACTAGTTCATTAATATATAAGGACAAGACAAAGAAATGGCATGACATGAGACTAAAAGGTCATAAGGATTTTTAATGAAGGACAAAAAGTGCTACTCTTCAATTCAGGATTAATGCTTTTTCCCGGGCAAACTACAAACTAGGTGGGACGGACCATTTTTTGTTAAACAAGTTTGACCACATGGAGCTATTGAACTTTTATCAAGAGATGGAACCCCTTTCAAAGTTAATGGGCATAGAGTGAAACATTATGAAGAAGGAATGTCAAATGAAGAAAAAAGGGGGAAATCGTCAAATTCATACGAGCTGAAACAACTTGAAGCGGGAAGGAGTCCGGCTTATGACTCCCCAAAAAGAAGCGCTTGCAGGAGGCAACCTGTGATTTTGCGTTTGCATTTTTCTTTCCTTTTCTTTTATTTTATTTCATTTTCTTTTATTTTTGCTTAATGCTTTATACTCTCATTCTTCTAATTTCTATGGAATTCACCATGGGGAATGGAATAAAACGAGTGTGGGGTGGATGATTTTTTATAAGATTTTGACTAATTTGGAACTTTTAAAAAAAAAACATCACCATGAGGTGGTGAAAACCACCACGACGTGGTAAATTTACAAAACCCGATAAAAGTTTTCTCAAGGCGATACCACGACATGGTGAATTCTCCACGACGTGGTGTCGGTTTAACTGCAGCCAAATTAGGGTTTTTAAACCCCAGTCAAAACAATTGTTTACTTTTACTCCGCCTCTCTCTCAACGTGTTCCCTTTCCCCACGAAGAACATCCCTTCCTTTTACTCGATTTCTTGCGTTTTTCCATTACAAGGTATGATTTTTGTGTGATTTCCTTACTCTTAATCACTTCTTATGCTAGTATAGGGTATATATTTGCTGTTACAACACTTTTAGGCCCGAAATTAAGAACTTAGGGTTTCGATTTTTTCCAAAAAACGGACCCGATTAATGATGTTTTTCATTTGATTTTGTTACGTTCCTACTTGAATTCATGCCTAGAACAAACCTTGAAGTTGTATTGAGTAGGAATGGTGTTGAATTTGGTTCGATTAAACCACAACACTCGAAAGTACATCGACCACGACGACTCGTCGTGGTCCTCATCGTGGTGAACTTTTTTTAAGCCCAATACTGTTTTGTTCTGATTCCTTGCATACACATGGTTTCCTCTTGTGTTCTTTTTGGTTAATTTGCAGAAATGGCAAGCCGTGCACGACGCCAACAACCCGGGAGTCGCCCCGAGTTTCCGTGGTATTCTTTTCCTAGGACTGTTGGGTCCGAGATTTATGCAAGATGGAATGCAAAACTTGACTGGATGAAGCAGCGAAAAGTCCATGTTCCTGCAGTTGTAGATTGGCACTGGATTGGACAAACCGGGTTAATGGAGGGAATTGAGACATACTTGGACAAAGCATTCAATAGCATTCATGGGCCGTTTGTTTGTATGGGGTGGAGACGGCTATTTGAAATTCAGGAAGTCGGGTATAAGGAGTTAGTCATTGAGTTTCTGGCCATGGTCTCTTTTGCTCGGAAGGATGGAATATTTGTTGAAGACAACCTTTCTTTTTGCCTTGGTGAAGAAAGGCGTACCTTAAGCCTTGCTGATTTTGCGCTAAGGATACATATTTATCTTCCATCTAAGGTCCATTCCGAAGCTTATCAACAATACATTGTTGGAGGTATTCGGATTACCGAGGGGTTCAAAGCTGAAACACATTGGAATGAAATAGAAAATGATGCTTATGATAAGGGGATTGCGCAAGAAAGCGACATTCCCTCTCCTCTTCATCGTCTTTTGCATCGGCTTATAACAAACACCATTAATCAGAGACATGAGGGGGACAAGTGTCCGACGATAGACGTGTTTTTCTTATGAGCTCTTATCACCCCCAATGTTTATGTGGACTTACCATTCTTGTTGGCATATTTTCTTGTGGCCCGAGCGGGGAAGGATAGACGTGGTTCTCCTCTTTACGGGGGTATGTTGATCACACGACTTTCACGTTCTTTTGGCATCCTTGATAAGCACGTGGCCGTCTTTTTGACTGTGGAGCCCCAGAAGCCTTTTTCTACACTACTTTATAAGAGGGAAAATATCATTGTTGATCATGGGATGGGTGGTTATGCTATTCCTGACGATACTCCACGAGGCCGAGTCCCGAGGCGGGTAAGAAAAAGAAGGGAGCCCGAAGAAGAAGAACCACCAGTTGTACCCACCAATGATGAGCTACCCATGGATCCCTATAGCATTGCGAGGAGGAGGTTTGATGATAACTTGGCACGGAGTGCCAACTACACCAACATGAGCCTAGACCATCTTATGGAACAAATGCATGTAACCTGGCCCATTCATTTTCCTCCTACTTACCCATACGTGCCGAATCGGGAGGAGTTGTGGAAAGAACAATGTGATGGAGCGGGCGGTAGTGGAGGAGGAGGTGACGATGGAGATGACGAAGAATGAGCGTTCTATCCTTTTATTTTTGTGGATTGAAGACTGTTTATCTTATGTCTTTTATTTTTGTGTGTTTGGTTTTTGTGGTTTGGTTGTTTGATACTTATGTCTTATTAGGTTTGGTTGTTTGACAATGTTTCCTACTTTCATTAATCTTCTTTGCTTTAGATTTCCAGGTGTAATTTGTAGAGTCCTAGAGAGGGTATTATTGGCAAAAGAAGGTGCTTTATAAAGAAAGATTAGAAACGATGAGAGAAGCAAGCTTTGAGCAATTTTTAGGGTGTTTGTTGGGTCAATAAGTGAGGACTCACGCCTAACAGCTTCCTACATTAGTTGGTGTCACAAATATTTCAGAAATTAGTTGATTCTGGCACAGTTTATTGCAATTTCAAGATCACCACGCTGTGGTAATATCCACCACGTCATGGTGTCGCAGCTAAAATACCAAAATCGCATTATGTTTGGTCCACCACAAGGTGGTGCTTTTTGAGTCCGTTTTCAAGTCTGATCCCATACTTTCCGAAGTCAAGGTGTTTAATAGTGGCGTTTCTAATTCTATATTCATTCTCCTGGTATGGATGAGCTGTTCCCACACCATAGAATTTATTTTCACGCGATAAAAAGTATTATCCCGGCTGCCACGACATGGTTGACACTTTCCTATGTCGTGGGGGAGTTATTCATCGCATAAGGAGGTTGCCATTATACTTTCCAATTCCGTTTCACACTTGCAAGCAACCGGGATTTTCTACACATTTCCACACGATTCGAGATGTATCTTCTACCCAAGGGAGTCTGTTCCTTTTTCTCCCTCTTTTTAATTTTTATGTTTTGCATAACATGCAATGAGGGCATTGCATGAAATAAGTGTGGGGTAAGGGGTATATTATATTGCATGAGAAAAAGCATTTGATTTTTAAAATTTTGCATTGCTAGTTTCAGAATTTGCATTCATATAGACTTGAAACAATAAGTTTAACTTAGGAAACTTAGCCAATTAAAATATTTGCTAGCATAGTATGGGATGATCCGATGAAAACCCAAATGTTTACCCGAGCCAATACATGTTACAGTGTATTTGTGGTTTCCCATCTCCTAGTGAGGAATGAGGTATGAAAGGTAATCTGGTAGCTTATGTGGCATAATACGTTCTGCAGCCTAAACCTGAAATCTATCCAGGAAAGCTTAGTTAGTCATTGCACCTAGACTAATTCCTTAACCAGTAAAGGTTGACTCTAAGCCCCTTGCTTAAGCATGTAGGATTTGAGTGAAAAAAAAAGTGAGATACATGTAAAAAAAAGAGAGAGAAATTACCAAAAAGTTCAAGAGTTTTGGAGCAGTCAAATTATGAAATTCAAAGATCAAAATTCTGAAGAAACCCAAAAAGTTGAAGATACCAAAAATCAAACAAGAAAGGTGGTGAATTCAAAGAAATCAAAGATCAAATATACAAAGAAAATGAAGAATTCAAAGAGCTCCATTGTGGTATCAGAGTTGTAATTTCTAGAATTTATGTATGCTTGGTTGTTTAGCCAAAAATACCTTGAGGGTAAGTAAGATTTCTGAGGATTGATTCGGAGGGTTGCAAAAATGAGTGTCGTATAAGCTAAGGGGTGAAGGTTCATAAGGATTGTGAGTATTTAGGAGCGGGAAGTTCTTAGGAATTATAGACACAAATACATGCATTGAGGTCTTGGGATAATGGTTGGGTTTGAAATGGATTGTTTTGTAGTTTGTTGGTAAAATAAGAAATCAATTTGCTTAAGGGCAAGCAAAGAATAAGTGTGGGGTATTTTGATATGTGCATATTTATATACATAATTATACATCATAACTTAATATTTTAATTACTTTTATTCCCTTATTAGAACAAAAGATACTTAATTTGTTATGAATTATGTTGTAGGGATAAAAGACATGCTTGGAGCAAAAAGGAAGCTGGAAGCTGGACCTAGGAGTTGGGAATTTCAATCAAAGCTTTAAAATGAAGAAAAAATACTCAACACGTCGTGGTGGATTTCCCACGGCGTGGTGACTTGAAGAATCCCGATTTGCTTCGAAGACTTGTAGACCACGGGATAAACACGAAGACCACAGTGTGGTGGCCTTACCACGTCGTGGTGCTCTAAATTCGGGAAAACTATATATAGATCTCATTCTCCTCTGAATTGGAACTCTTGGCTCTGGAAGTAATCATCACTTTTGAAGGCAAAACACCTGTTCTTAGGCTTGGAAGCAAGGAATTCGATCAAACCATTGGAAGGAGGAGCATTAAGGCAACAAATCTCTACACTTTGATTTTTCATTAGTTTCTACTATGTCAAACTCTTTGAATTTCGATTTTGTGATTTTGTTTGCTGAAATCATGAGCTAAATACTCATGACTTTCGTTTAGCCTAGGATTGATTGTTTAATTATGGTTGAATTTATGGATTGGATTTAGCTATTTGGTTATTTGTTGATTTTGCTTATTAAAGAACCTCAAGTACTTTTGATAACTATTTTCTCTACTTATTGCTGAATTTGATTAAGTTAGTATGATTATCTTCCTTAGTTAAATTTGAATCTTATGATATTGTAAATTGCAAAATTGTAGGACTAGAGTTGTGAACAAAACCTACGGTTAAGTAGAAAAGTGGTAAAAAGGTATAGGAGCTAATATATGACGACAAATCATATATTGAATTGAATCAATAAACTAAATTGATCAATCGATTATAAGTCTAATCAATTCGAACCAAACACTAGTAAACTTATAAGTTTGTCCGCTTGATCACCGAATAAATAAGCTAGTTTGCTAAAGGATTAAATTAGTGAATATTAATTTGGTCATCTTAGGAATCGGTAACCAAAGAACTAAAATTCATTGCACTTCCATAAATCAACCATAATAACAAGTAAATCCGAAGCTAACCGAAAGTCTCTTACTCATATTGGTTAATTCATCGTTGTTCTCTTGCCTTAGTTTAGTTTTAGCTTAATTAATTGATAGTACGTTAGTTTGGTAATTTAAGTATCTAGTCTTGCAAAACTAGGAAAACAAAACATTTTCTAATTTCATTAGTAAGTAGTAAATAGTAGAATAAAGTTAGCCAAAACACCGTTCCTTGAGTTCGACACTTGTTCTTACCATAGCTATACTATTACACGATTAGGTACACTGCCTAGTGTGTTTAATAGTCTAGTGAAAGAAACATTAGTTTTATTAAATTGAAATTTGAACAAATATATATACACATTAAATACACATCAAAGCTTCATGCTTGGGATTTTGCATCGTAAATTGTTTCAAGATTGTTTCAATATATCTACTTTAATTGAGACCAATTAGCCTTTCAGATCTATACATAATTCCTTATAGATAACGAATCCTTATACATCTTTCACATTAAAGCATTTTCCAATCACATCTTGCAAAGCTTGAATATATTTTCTATGAATAGTATGTCGACAACATATAATATCAGGAGGAAAACAACGTTCCCACTAACTATAATGTAAACACAAGTCTTTTGGTTATAAGAAAATACAAACTCTATAAGTTTCTCCTCTAACCATATATTCCATATCTTAGATGTTTGCTTTAATCCATAGATGGATCTCTGAAACTTGTGTACTCTTTTACGATGTTTTGGCTTCACAAATCCTTCTAATTGCACCATATCTACCTCCTCACTCATGTGACCATTCCAGAAAGCGATTTAGACATCTATTTTCCATATCTCATAATCAATGTATACAACTGTAGCAATAAGTATCGTTATATAATTAATGTTTATGACTAAATATAAGGGTTTCTCATAGTATATATCATCCATATAGATGTGTACACTTCCATCCATATCATTCTTCATCTTGAAGATACACTTGTACCCAATAGACTTGTTTTCAAGATAGAAGATCAACTAAGTTCCAAACTTGGTTATCTTTCATGGATTGCATCTTTACAATCATGGTTTGTTACCATTTTTAAGATTTTAGATATAATGTAGCTTCTTAATAGCTAATGAGCTCACAATGGTCCCCTTGTTCATCTTCTTCAACAAACATGTTAATTGAAATCTCACGAGCTGGTGAGGAATACTACTAGATTTGTGAATGTTATATGCTTCTTATTGTCTCTCTACAACCGAGTGCTTGGACCCAAAACTATGTAGTCTAGTGACTACCTAAAGTATTGTATTTTGTGGTACTTGAATTTTGTTTCAAGATCAACATTGCTCCTATATGCTTCTTGTAACAAGATCTCTCTCTCTCTCTCTCTCTCTCTCTCTCTCTCTCTCAAAATTTAACATTTCGAGCAACAAACACTTTACTCTTAATAGGGTTGAAAAGTAGTTACCCATTATTTCCTTTATAAGTATCCCACGAAAATACATTTGATCGTTATGGATTTTAGTTTACTAAAAGTCGAACGGAGT